TGACATGTCAAACAGTCACAGAGAAATCTGGGGAAAAGTCACGTTTTGGAGGAGCAGTCACAACAGATCATCCTCGTCATGCCACAGTGAAAGCTAATTTTAAAAGGGGTGTGTGTGTGTGTGTGTGTGTGTGTGTGTGTGTATGCAGTGATGTATACCTGTATATATAAAGACGATTATTTGTTTTGGGGGATCTATCTATCAGTAGCCCGGAGGAAAAGAATCCTTAACACTGGGGAAAAGTTTGCCTGTTTTTTGCTAATGACTTTCTTTACCAGATTTAAAATAATATAACTGCGTTCACAGGAACACTTGATTTGGATTCACGCTCCAAAGTTATTAAATCGTTGTTGAATGAAGCAGGGCTGGAACAGAGGAGAAGAGGTTGAAGGAAAGAAGCTCCAGGCCATTCAGGGGTGGAAGGCACAGAGCGTGAGTCACCCTGCAGCACTCATCCGTCAGCCCAAGGAGAAGGGCACCAGCCTGGCCTGAGAGACACCATAAAAGGAGAGGCAGAGGAGGAAAAGGATACACTAAAAGATATCCTTTTAAGAGGGACATAAAGGCTATGAGAGCTGCCTGAGAAATTATCCTGGCCTTCTACCTCTAAGACCTGGCAAAAGAGAAAGTGCGTGTGGTTCAAGTATAACTACAGAAAATACAAAACCAAAGCCTTGTTACTTCCTAAAGCAGATCAGTTTGGGCAAAATATTCACATTTCAATGAGGAAACGGAGCAAAGTAATTGAATGAAAATCATGAAGTTTAAATATGTATTTTCCAGTAAAGATGTCAGGGTGAAGAATCAAGATGAAAAGAAGTAGCGAAGTTTGAAAAAACTCAGCTAAAGACAAAAGTAACTTTGTAGGATAGCCTGGAACATTAACTTAAATTCTTGTTGGGTATGAGCATAGATGCATACAAGGCCCGCCATCTGCTGGCACAGTTTGGTACTGCTAATTTGGAAAGCATTCTTAGAGGAAGTGCCAGATTCTGGCCGGGTATAGTCTACTCTGTTTTGTAGCAACACTGCTCAACATTAAGTACTAATACATTAGTCAGGTCTCAACAGAGGCAAAGAATTCAGACCTTGGACCTCTGGTTTGTATATTTCCTGTTGTACAAGATAGAATATCTAATTCTGGGCAGGAAGAAATTCTGGACTGGTAAGCCCTTCTAGTTACTAACAACCCTTTTCCTTCTCCTGTCATGTGAATGGAATCATACAGTAAGATTCTTTGCAGTCTTGTTTCTTTCACTAAACATCGTGTTTGTGAACAGATCATTATTTCACCTATTCTACTTTTGGTGAATACTTGGGCTGTTTCCAGTTCTTGGCTATTACAAACGATGCATGCATGCATTTCTGTGGGGTGTATATTTAGGAGTGATACTGCTGGCTTAAAGGGTATGCAAATGTTCAAATTTAGTAGAAAATGCCAAACAGTTTTCTAAAGGACTAATACCAAATACATTCCATATGAGTAAGCATATCAGAGTCTTTGCCAACACTTGATGTTATCAGTCTTTTAAAAAAAATTTAGCCATTCTAGCAGGAATGTAGTAGTATCTTACGATTTAAATTTTTACTTCCCTGATGACTGGTGAGATGGATCACTTTTAATATGTTTACTAGCTATGTGGGTATCCTTTTTTGTAAAAAATCTCTTGTCAATTTTTCTATTCAATTGTTTATTTTTGTTTCATTGATATATAAAGGTTCTTTATAGACTCTAGATATGACCCCTTTGTCAGTTACATGTATACAAATATCTTCTTCCTCTCTGTGCTTGTCTGTGGTATACAATATATGGTGCTTTAAGTATAGGACAACACAGCACCAGGCAGAAGGGGATAAAGAGTGCTGGCATGCTCAAAGGTCCTTGCACTGTCCAGGACATGTTTAAATGACTAATTTACAATGAGATTCTAATAATTCAGGGATATAAGTGATAAACTGTATTGTAACCACTAGAAGAAAAATAAAAAAATGTATACCCTGCAAGTTAATGGATAGGAAAATGGAATGATAAAAATATTTATCCAAAAGAAATCAAGTAAGGATAAAGAAAAACATAAAATTGGCAGGACAAAAGGAAATTTAAACCCAAATGAAGATTTAAAGAAAAATGGAAAAAAAAAAAAAACCCCAAACAAAACACGTTATGGGAAAATTTGTACCAAAAGAAGCTAGGGTATAATATCAGGCATAACAGATATTGATATAGAGGACATAAAAGGACAAGATATACTGATCAATAAAATAATAGGTTAAGAAGATATGCTACTGTTGAACTCTCCTCACCCACACCCCCAACAAAATAGCTTCAGAATGTATATAACAATGACTGGCAGAACCATGAAGAGCTATAAATTGATCAATAATAATTGATGTTAGAGATTTAAACACACCCATTTTAAAAACAAATATGCGCAGTTGGCAAAATAAACAAAGATATAAATTTGAATAACAGAATTAATAAAGTCAACCTAATACAGATTTATTAGAATATTACACACAACAAATAAAGAATACAAATTCTTTTGTAGAATATTTGGAACAAAAATTGACCAAAGAAAACTTCAATAAATTTCAAAGAGTTGATATCATGCAAATATGTGCCTGTCCATCATGCAATAAAACTGGAAATCATGAACAGGAGGATACCTTGAAAAATCCCATATATCTGCAAACTAAAACTCACATCACTTGAATAATTTTTGGACTAAAGAGTAATTTATAAACTAAGGTATGAAATACTAAGAACTTAATGACAGTGATAATGCTACATGTTAAAGTTTCTGGGGTAGAGTTAAAGCAGGTTTTAGGGGGAAATTTTGGAGAATATCTTTGGTATTTGGGTGGGAAAGACTTTCTAAACCAACTCCCAAAGCATAAATGATAAAGTGAAAATGAATGGAGTTGACTCTAGCAAAATTAAGAATTTCTATTTCATGAGGAATACTATGGAAAAAATTAGTAAGTGGACAGAGGGTGTAAGAAAATATTTGCAATATCATTAATATTTATAATAGAGAAGAAAAACTTGATTATCAATAAGAAAAGTACAGGGAACTCCCCCCCAAAAGTTTCTCATATCAATAGCTTGTTAGAATACTAACAGGCTATTAGTAGAAGGGGAATCCCCAAAGGCTAAAAAGTATATGAAGAGGTACTCAAAAACTGTCTAGTAAGAGAAATCCAAATAGAATTTAAAAATAATTAGCATGTTACATGCATCAGGTAGGCAACAGTTAGAAAGATCAACAATGCCAAATATTGTTGGGGGTGTGAAGAAATAGGAACCCAGCTGCCCTGCAAACGGGAATGCAGATGGGTATAGCAACCAGCCAATGCTTGGTGAACTTGGACCAAGTTCGTACCCTGTCACCAAGCAATCCCACCCCTGGGGTAGAAGCCTCAGAAAATGTCTCACTTAGCTACGTGAGTGAAGCTGCGTGAAGATATTCAAGGCAGCACCACTGTGGTAGCAGAGAGCTGGGGACAAGCTGAGTGTCCACTGCTAGGAGAATGGATAAACAAAATGTGGCAGATGCATTCTGTGGAGCACTATGCAGAAGCCAGAAGCAATGAACTACAGTACAGGAAACAATTAAAAAGTATTGAGAAGAAAAAAGTGAGAAACAGAATAAGATATATACTACAAATTTATACAAACATAAAACACATAAATACGTACAACAATACTATTACTCAGAGACACATATTCAAAGACATAAACCATCATTAAGATATATATCTACAGTATGTGTGTGGGGGGGACAGGGGTGGTGGTGAATGAGAGTGAAGGTCAGAGATAAAGGAAAAAAGTGAATTTAAAAAAGTTTGCAGGGATGGATGAACTCTTCATTGCAGCCCCCCCCCCCAAAAAAAAAAAAAACCCAAGCAAAACAAATTTACATGGGAGAATTGTGATCATAAAAGGAATATCTTTGGGCCGAGCCCGTGGCACACTTGGGAGAGTGCGGCGCTGGGAGCGCAGCAGTGCTCCCGCCGCGGGTTCGGATCCTATATAGGGATGACTGGTGCGCTCACAGCGCTCACTGGCTGAGTGCGGTGCGGCCAGTCTCAAAAAGGACAAAATAAATAAATAAATAAATAAGTAAGTAAGTAAATAAGTAAGTAAGTAAGTAAATAAATAAATAAAAGGAATATCTTTAAAAGTATGAGTCAAAGTTGGTCCTTCACAGTTTCCTGTCACATGGAATCACTGGGTGTATTCTCTTGGGATCCTTTCCTAACACCCTTCTGAAAATTATTCCACTGGTTCTCTGAGTTCTCTTGGGAATCAACCTATGCATGCAGTCTGGCTGTGAAGGTAAACTGAATTCTTCTGGCTTTGACTAAGGGCAGCCATGTAGGTCAACAGGGATTCTCTGCGTCTTCTGGAAAAGACCTTTCTGCACCCTCTTCCCCCTACAAACCATCCTTCCAAGGAGCATGGGCATACTCTGTCACCCAATACTCTGGGGGACTGGCTTAGGGTTGGGAGGGATAAGTGTGTAAACGACTCAAGATCCATTAACTTCTATCTCTTCCCGCTGGGTTTAGTTGGTGAGCGTGGAGTGGGGATCCTCTCATTGTCATGGATTCACATATGTTTATGATCATTCTCCTTTGAGGCCCTAATCATAAAATCAATCCACTGAAGCATTTTAGACTAGAGCAGTGGGGGAAAAAGAAGAGAGGGAAAGGCACAGGGGCAGGGGATGGGGAGGGAAAGTAGGCAGAGAGAAAGTCAAGAGAATCACAATCAGAACTCTAGGCCCACGGTGGATATGAGGACTGTTTCTGAGGTGTGTCTAGGGGGCTGCTCTCACATGACTGTGTTCCTCTTTCGCTTCTGGACAATGCCTTGGGAAAAGCCATGGACACAGCCCCATGGAGAAGCTCCTCCTACCTGAAGACAAATTCTGGTAGGAATACTGGCAAAGAACCTCCAGCCATCATGGATACGAAGTCCTAAACGTGAAACTTACTGTGCAAATGACAATTTGATCCGTGCTTGAATTTCTATCCATTCTTCTTTTATAATCCTTCCACATTGTAGCAGCTCCTTTGAAAGTCTCTTTGCTTTTGTCAAATTCTCTGAAGCTTCCTTAAATCTGAATTATGTTCAGGAAACTCCCACTTGGTTCTAGATTCTGGGACCGAGGTCCTGGACTCCCTTGACTCCCAAACTTCCTCTATCACCCCTCCTGAGTCATCTATCAGCTTTTTATTTGGCCTTGAGAATTAAAATATAAACAATATATGAACAGCATTTCTATTTTTAAAGATTAGACACAAAAGGATACTTTTGAAGGGAGAGTAAGGCTCTCCCCATGGTATGGAAGAGCTCAATGGAACACTTGAAAACATCCACATTATCGTCATAGGGAGGACCAATGGAGCTGGAGAGGATTTCTTTGGCTTTTTCTGCATGTTGTTTTGCTTGCAGTGACAGTCCTATGGACAAAGAAAAAGAGGTCTCAGTTTCTCTTTAATCTCAGTTGGACGGAAATATATTTCTCTGCGGCTGGGGAATCTAATGAGGTCTCCTTCACACATTGTCAGGAGGCACAAGGAAATGCACCCGTGTAACCTGAAATAGTGTCATGACTACAACAACCAAAGAAGTGTTTTATACCAAGTACTCAAGATGGATTTTTCCCAAAATGGCCTTTTTAGAAATAAAATAAACAGAATGAGCTGGAATCGAACAGCTTTGAAACCTCACCAATATCAGAAATAAAATATGTTACAAATAATTATAAAAAACAAATGGAATACAAGGACTATAGCATTCTGGGCAGGAAATAAGATATTCATGAATTTTAATCCTGGCTTTGTGACAGTCTTAATGAAATACTAAAAATTCGGAATCTTCTGCTCACCCACCAATAATCATAATGTTATTTTAACGTAATATAAATATGATGATATATATAAAAACTTACAAAGACAATTCCAATGAGGCAATAGACTAATGTGTGACAATCTCTCATTCCTATGTGGTAATAGACTAATATGAAACAGAATGGAGCAAAAAAGAAAAAAAATAATTACTACCAAGAACTAAATTCCCCAGCGTGTTCCAGTGTTCCTCCATGGGCTTATTAATCTGCAAGAAGGGTAACACTGGGGATCGCCTGCTAGGATTCAAGGCTTTGCGCTTCCCACACTCCCTTTCCCCTCCCCCACACTCACACCTCCTTCCACTCACATCTGTGCACCCCCTGCCTTATGTTCTTCATTACAAAAAATTGTATCTCAAATCCCTAAAAAAGCTGTCAACATATGAAGTTAATTCTGTTTCTATGTCTATAAAGCCAGAAGAATATATTTTCTTTTCTTTTTTTTTTTTTTTCTTTTTTTGTTTTTTGGGGTTTTTTTTAGCAGCTGGCTGGTATGGGGATCTGAACTCATGACCTTGGTGTTACCTTGGTGTTACCAGCACCATGCTGTCCCAAGTGAGCTAACCAGCCAGCCCCAGAGGAATATATTTTCTAATGGAGAAACTCAAGGGTATGCTTTTCATGTGGGAACTCTTACAGAATATTGTCTTTTTAATTTTTTTTCTTTTAAACCACATACTTAATCAACTTGCCAGAAATTTATTAGTGCCAATCATGCAGGTGATATTACAAAAAGCATGGTGGACTGTATTTTCAACCATGGTCTGTTCCACTGAGGAACTTGAACTAAATCTCTAGGAGGCAGTGCTGGTAGAGGTTCAGCAACATTGGCTCTGAAGTCAGACTGTCCAGAATGAATTCCCTGCTCTACCACTCGCTATGAAGCATTGTCCTCAGCTTCCTCAACTATAAACGGGGATAATAATCATACATATCTCGTGGGATTGTGGTGAAGACTGAATGAGGTTATGCATGGAAAACAGCCTGGTGCCTGGCATCAATAAGACCATAATAAATAACAGATATTGCTTCTACTTTGAATTGAGAAAGAAGAACTGTCATGCAGAAAGGCAGCAGGCTGTAGAAGAAAAGCATCACTTGAAATCCCAGATGGCAGGACACTGGTACTGGCATCTGAAATCCTGGGTCTGAGTCTCAGATCACTTACTTATTAACAATGTGATCTGGGGCAAGCTGTTTCAACTGAGACTTGTTGTTTCCTCTGAATGTACAAAATGGCAAGAGGGTGTTGGCAGGGTTTAAACCAGATGATCTCCAAGGCCCCATCTGTCTCTAACAGTCTTTGATCTAACAGGTAGGACCAGCCTATAATCAGATTTGGCCAAATTTATTGGGTGACAGTTCTACGTTTGGTATTGTGGTGTTTTCCACTTCTATTATTTTATTTATTCAGTGCAGCAACCCTGGGAAGTTAGAATTCCCATCGTCATTATCGTCACTTTTCAGTTGAAGAAGCTGAGTGCAGAGATGTATTCTCGTACATCTTGTCCTAGGTTGCACAGCGAGTAAGCAGCAGACATCGCATCCTGGGTATCTGTTGTTTTTGCCTTCCCTACATCCAGTCTCCCTTCTTCTGTTTTCCTTTTGGGATGCATGGACTCTGCATATCCAATCCAAGCAATCTGGCCAAGGCCAGCTTCTTCCTCAGTATCCAATGGAGCCAAAAGGTAGGTCTAGCCAATTCCTTGGCTTTGACATACAACCCTAGATGGTACAATTAGAACCCCCAAATCTGGGTCGACCCCGTGGTGCACTCAGGACAGTGTGGCACTGGGAGTGCAGCAGCACTCTCCCCGTGGGTTCAGATCCTATATAGGGATGGCTGGTGCGCTCACTGGCTGAGCGCAGTGCGGGCGACACCATGCCAAGGGTTACGATCCCCTTACCAGTCACACACACACAAAAAAGAACCCCCAAATCCTAGGATTATGGTGGAGGGACGTTCTTTTTCTCCTGTGAATGCTTAGAAAAAGAGTTTAAAGCTGTTGGCAGCCTTGCTGCCACCATGTGGGCAAAGCCTGGCTAAGCATAAAGCCAATACCAAGAAAAACAGAGCTAAGCAGGGGAAAAAGAGAAGCTGAATCCTGGTGACATTGTCTGTTTATGGCTGAGTTTAAAGCAAGTTTTACCCCTGGATTTTTAAGTTGTATGAACCAATAAATTTTTTTATGCCCATTTGGGTTAATCTTTTATTTTTTTGGTTACTTATAGTCAAGAGACTCCCCATCAATAAAAATGTGAATGGATCCCATTCTAGGCCCGTATCCCATGCTTTGGGTTCTTTCTACAAGTGCTTTCTAATAACCTAAAAGATTAATTCTCTCCTAAGAACACTATTTTTAAGATTAAAAAAAAAAAACCCAGAACAAAAAACCTAGAAGGGTTACAATCTTCCTTCCCTTTTCCCTTGGAATATTTATATGTTACTACCTTATTGACTCGTTCTAAAAAGAAATAGCTTCTCAATATTTGGGAAGGGGAATATCCAAAAGCCAGATCTTCCTGGTTAAATGTGAATCAAATTTGGGGAGAAGAGCAGAAACCAACCAAATGACCCTCCTCAGTCTGACATGAGCTCACCTTTCATCTGGAGGTACCCTTGAGCCAGATTAACATGCGCCTGTGCTAGTTTCCAGTGAGAGTCGCCGTAGCAAATTCTTGTCAGTGCTACACAACGCACAAGCTCTTGAATAGCCTGTTTATACTGCCAGGAAGAGAAAATGGGCTTACCAGTTAGACAACTTAAAACTTAGGAGTCACAAAACACAAAATCACCTTGTACTTTTACCCGTTCAGTAAATATTTACTGAGTGCCTACTATAGGCTAAGTGTGTTTCTAAGCACTGGCGATACATCAGAGAACAAGATAGACAAAGATCTGTTTTGGGTGCTAAAGTGTTCATCCTGTAGGGTGAAACAGATAATAGACATTAGAAATAAGTACAATTTATAGCACATTGTAGCTTTGCTCATACCCATAAATACTTCCTTAAAATAAATTCGTACAAATGGGATTATTGGGTAGAGGATATCCAAAATTTGGAGGCTTCGAGAAGCTACTGCTGAAGTGCTTCTCCGAGAGGCTGTACCAATTCACACTTCCAGCACAGCACCTGTGAGCGGGGAATGCCCCATATGTGGAACTGCACACACACTGAGTTCTTATTTAGTTTTTAGTTTGCCAATTTGTCAGTTAATCCATTTCTCCTTGTTTTAATCTGCATTTTTTTCCCCCTCCTAAACTAGTGAGGCTGAACATTGTCAATGGCTGTTTGTATCTCTTCTTTTGAGATCAGGTTTTTATTGCCTCTAGACACAGGAAGTTTTGGGAATGGCTTCTTAGGAGACAGAGAGAGCAATGAATACAGTGTATGAAAAAGAAGGAAATGATGAAAACACGGGGGAGTCTAGACAGACAGTCTGCCAAAAAGAGAGGGAGATCTGTTCTGATAGTGGATCTGTCCCAACCACAAATTTCCAACGAGGGGGACTGTGCTGACTGAGTCAGGTGTCCCAGATCACAGTCCTGGTTCTCATTACCTGAATGGGGACCGGGGTATAGGAAGAGCAGCTTGTCCTCCCCTCCACTCTCATGTGTTTAATGCACAGTCTGGATATCCCTTTTGGCTTTCCAACCTCTATTCTGCCAGTTCCAGTGGCTTTAGCAACAGGCATGTTAAAGAGTAGAGGAAAGATAAAAATGAAGTAGGAACACAATTTCAGAAATGGGACAAGCCTTTGAGATAATCAACTATAGTCCCCTCAATTTAAAGACAAAGAAATGTAAGGTCAGAGAGGAGAGATGATTTATCACCTGAGTAGTAGAGTCAGAACTCACAGTCAGGCTCCTTGATGCAAAGTCCAGAGCTCTCCCCACAGCATTATTTCTGGACTATCTGGAGTTTCTTAAACTTCTAATTAAATACGTAACTCTGATGATTAGTTGGCCTGGCCACATATATTTAAGAATCAATATTTTATACCCAGATCTTGCTGTCTAAATACTATTCTCCACCAAGAGGAACCAAGGTTCCTTGAATTCAAGGCTGGAGCAGCGGAAGACCAAGATGAACCTGAAAAATCTTGTTGTGCCAGAAATTAAGGAAATGTTCAAAGAATGAGAGGATAGATCGAGGACTCAGGAGCCAGCTTGAAGGGGATCCCACTGGCAAATATGGGGCAACTTAAGCTTCAGTGAAAATAATGGGTTGTAACACATTTGAAAAATAGGATTTTCTGAACCCTATAAATATATGAATAATAAATAAGATTTGAAGAAATAAAAGCTCTTCCTTGTAATAGAATGCCAACAAATAAATGTTGAAAGAATGCGAAGTCAGAGATTTGCTATTTGATAAACATCACGGTAATAATGGATTCAGGCAAAAATCACTGGATGCTAAAATTAGGGGGCAAAGTCTTAAATATATCCACAGTCTCAATAAATCTCCCCACGAAGTACTTATAGTTATTAATTACCAAGAGAAAAACTGTAATTCTACAGTGAAAAAAACCTACCAGACAACACCTTAACCAAGGGTTCAAAGTTAGCATCACAGCAAAAGACAGATAGCCATATTATGGGCCTTCTGATAAGACGCTCTGAGAAGGGCCCTGTGTCATGTCTGTGGTATGCTTGCCCTAAATGCATAATCTGATTCAATCATGAGAAAAAATAAGAAGAATTCAAATGAAATTTAAATATTCTACAAAACAGAATATAAAATATTCTAAAAATGGCATATTCTATAAAATAATTACAGTGTACTTTTCAGAAATATCAAGATCATGAAAGACAAAGATAGGTTAAGAAACTGTTCCAGATTGAAGGAAACTAAAGAGACATGACAACTGTATTCAACATAAATTCATGGAATGGACCATGGATCTGATTTTTTTCCGTAAAGGACATCATTGAGGAGAAATATGGATAAGGTCTGTAGATTAGATAATAGTATTACACAAATAGTAATGTCCTAATTTCAATATCTGTAACCTACTCTCAAAGTTCAGAAAAATAATATGAGAGATATATATAAAGCAAATGTTAAAAATCTTGTAACTCTTCTGTAAGTCTGAAATTATTTTAAAATAAAAAATTAACAAAAAATGGATATTTTAAAAGGTAAATTACATCATGCTGATATATGGCTGAATATACTTTTACAGGCATTTAGTTTGAAACCTGCAAGGCCCTATGAGAACCATATTTCATATCAGTCCAAGGCTTCCTCTCTTCACTTCAAACACATCCCACTTGTGCCCACCTTGTGGATTTTAGGTGTGCTGTTTCCTCTCCCCAGAACTCTTCCCCTCAGCCCCTCTATGTTGGCTCCTTCTCTTCCTCAGGTCTCAGCTCATTTGTTACCTCTTCAAGGAGGCCCTTCCTGACCACCTGACCCAACATGGACCCACTCTGTTCCCCCATAACATTTATCACTATCTATAATTATCTGGTTTATTTACAATGCTGGTTGCCCCTCAGGTCGACGAGGGCATGCACCTTGTCTGTCCTGTTCAATGCTATATCCTGGGATTCCTCATCTGAACCACAGAACACAAAGATGCTTTAGTACCATTCTAGATGCATAGAAGATAAGTTAATTCTGGTTGAGAAAGGCTGCTGGCCTAGAGTTGACCTGGCACAAGGCTTTAGGTACTGAATAAGTACCTGTGGCATAATGAATACTCATACATTCAAAATCGAATTCATACCCTCTTGCCATAATCCTGCTCTCCCTCCTGTATTCATTATACTGATGAAGAGTACGGGCAAGCCTCCAGTCACCCAAGCAGACTGATACCTAAGTCAGGAATTCTACACACTCCTTCTGCCTCGTTCTTGCCTCTCCATCCCCTACATTCCTTCGGTCACCCAGTTCCACTGCTTTGCATTTCTAAATTCCTTTCAAGAGATTTCAGCATTTCTACTGCCTCTGCCACACATAGTTCAGGCCTTCATAATTCCTTGCCAGGATTACTGCAAATATCCTCCCAACTGAGCTTGTGTTCTCACAGTACTTTTCACACTAACTACCATTATCTGTCCCCCTATTTTCCTAGCCAAACAGTGAGTGCCCCCCAAGGGAGAGGCTGGGGCTTTCCTCTGTCTGCCCCTGGCACCTGCACAGTGCCTGGCACACATTAGGCATACAACAGGTATTTGTGAAATAAATAAATGGACAAACAGGGCCTGACATGTAAGAGGTGGTAGAGAAATGCAGATTAAATGAATGAGTGAATGAGTAAAACTTTTGAGGAGAGAATGGGAAAGAAGGATGCAGAGAACAAGAAGATTAAGAACACAAGGAATTATAAACACCACAGGAGCAGAAGGTTCAACTGCTTTGTTTGTGTTGTACTCCAGAGCCTAGACCTGGCATATGGTAGGAGCTCAGTAAATATTTGTCCTTGATCATGTCACCCACTGTGCATGGAGCCCTGAGGTACCACTGCACTCATGCATGCATGCAAGGCACTCCCTCATATACTGTCTTGTACCAACCTCCTGAGATGATTAGGAATGTGATCTAAAATATGCTATTTCTCTTGATCATATGCTATAGCTTAATTCCCAGAGTACAGGTATAGAAATGAAAAGCTTCTTACTTCATGACTGCTGGAATAGGACTTTGCTTTCTCTTCACAGAAGAGGAGTTTCTCTTGAGGAAGTTGGAATAGTGCCGTCTCAGGCAGCTTGTTCTGGATCTTCTTTTTACGAGTGATGCTGACAGCAGCAACAATTTCATCTAGGTGATTGGATATGTGCGTTTCCTGTGATTCTTGCATATTTTTATATACATTGTCCTCTAATTTTTAAATAAAAAATAAAGGTGTTAAATGATAATTTCCATAGTTACTTTTAGAAATACACATTTTTAAAATAGAAATTGTGGCTAGAATATAGACAACTAGATTAAATGTAAAAGGATGAAAAATAATACCCTAAAATTAGTCAAAAACAAACTTGGAGTTATTATATTAACATCAAAGTAGATTTTATAGCAAAGAATATTACCAGGGATAGAGAAGGTCAACTCATCAAGAGGACATAATTATCCCAAATGTTTATACACCTAATAACAGTTTCACAATATAAGACCGAAATGGATAGAATTGTAAGAAGAAATAGACAAATTCTAAATTATAGTCAGAGATTTAAATATCTCTCTTAATAACTGATATAAACAAGTAGGCAGAAAATTAGGATATAGAAGACATGGACTACATGATCAACCAGCTTGATTTGACATTTATTAGAACACTCCGCCCAAAAAAGAATACGCATTCTTTTCAAGTACACATGGACATTAACTAAGACAGATTATATTTTGGACCATGTAACAAGTTTCAATAAATTTATAAGGATTCAATTCATACAAAGTATATTCTCTGATCACAAAGAACTAAATTATAAATCAATGACAGATACATATCTAAAAAAATTTCCAAATGTTTGGAAATGAAATAACACAATTCCAAATAAACCATAGGTCAAAGAAAAAAAAAAACCCAAAAAAAAAAAAAAATTGAAAGTAGTTTAAATTGGATGCTGCAAGAGCAAAACATACAAGAATTTAAGAATGCTATGGAAGCAGTCCTTATGGGAAATCACAGCATTAAATGCCTATTAGAAAAGTGGAAGGGCCTCAAATGAATGACCTTGGCTTTTACCTTCAGAAAGTAGAAAAAGAAAAGCACCTCAAAGTAAACAGAAGAAAATAATTAATAAAGTAAAGAATAAAGCTAAACTCACAAATCAACAAAATAAAAATGGAAAAACAATAGAGAATAAAAAATCAATGAAACCGAAAGTGATTCTTTGAAATCAGTAACATTGACCTCTGAGTAATCATGAAAAATGGAGAAAAAACACAAATAACCAATATCAGGAATGACAGAAATGACATTACTACAGATTCTACAAATATTAAAAGGTTAACAAGAGAATACTATGAATACCCTTATGCCAATAAATTTGACAACATGGATGAATAGACAAATTCCTTTAAAGACAGAAACTACCAAAGCTCACTCAAGAAGAAATAGGTGTCTGAATATCCCTATACATATTAAAGAAACTGAATTTGTATTTTAAAAATCTTCTAAAAAAGAAAACTCCAGGCTTAGATGGCTTTACTAGTGAATCCTATTAGATATTTAAGGAAGCTATAATACCAATTCCACACAACCTCTTCTAGAAAATTGAGGAGAGAAAATATCCTGACTCTTTCTATGGGACCTTGATACCAAAACAAGACAAATATATTACAAGAAAAAAATTTCAGATAAATATGCCTCAGAAACAAAAATGCAATAATTCAAAGCAAAAGTTTAGCAAATTAAATCCAACAATATAGAAAAGGGAAAATACATTACGACCAAGTGGGGTTTATCTCAGGAATGCAAGATTGGTTTAACATTAATAAAAAATCAGTCAATGTAATACATAATATTAATAAAAAAGAAAAACTGCCTGATCATCTCAACCCAGAAAAAGCATTTGACAAAATCTAATATCTAATATCGATTCCTGATAAAAACTTTTAGCAATGTGGAAATAGAATTATATTTCCTCAACCTGATGAAAGGCATCTATGAAGAACTTACAGCCTAACGTCAGACTTAATGATAAAAGACTAAATGCTTCACCTCTAAGATCAGAAACAAGACAAGGAGGTTTGCTCTCAGCACTTCTATTCAACATTGTATTGAAGCTTCTAATCAGTGCAATCAATGCAGAAAAAGAAATAAAAGGCACGCGGATCAGAAAGAAGTAAAACTGCCTTTATTCACTAAGCGTATCTCTGTTATTGTCCATGTAGAAAATCTGATGGAATATGCGAAAAATCTACTAACAGTAATAACTGAGTTTAGCAAAGCTGTAGGATACAAGATCACCATACAAAATAATATTTCTAAATATCAGCAATGAACAATCAAAATGAAATTAAAATATGATACCATGTGCAATAGCATCAAAAATAGGAAGTAGGATTAAGTCTACCAAAAGATGAGTAAGAGCTGCAAAAAAGTTAAAACTATAGAACACCACTGAGAGAAATTAAAGACCTAAATAAAGGGAGACATATGCCATATTCATGGGTTGGAAGACCCAATCTTATTAGGATGTTAATTCTCCCCAGATTGATCTACAGATTTAAAGCCATCTCAATTCAAATACTTGCATGGGTTTTTGTTTTGCCTTGTGTTTGGTAGAAACTGACAAATGATTTCTAAAGTTCATAGGAAAATGCAAAGGACCTAGAACACCAAAATAACTTTGTAAAAGCAGAAGACAGAAGGTTAACATGACTTTCCCCCAAGATTAGAAAGCTACAGTAGGCAAGGCAGTTTGCACTGCTGTTAAGATAGACAAACAGATCAATGTAACAGAATGGAGAGTCCAGAAATGGACCCACACATACATAAACAACTGATTGACAAAGGTGTGAAGGTAATTCATTAGAAAAAGAACAGTCTGTTCAACAAATGATGCTGGAACAACTGGATACTCACATGTAAAAACAAAACAAAACGAAAAAAACACCCTTTGATCCACACCTAACACTATATACAGAAATTAACTCAAAATGGAACCTAAATCTAAATTTAAAACCTAAAACTATAAAAACTTCTATAAGAAAACCTTTGTGACCCTGGGTTAAGCAAAGCTTTCCTAGGCATGACCACCAAAAAGAGTCATAAAAAGAACAAAATGACAAATGAGTCTTCATCAAAATTTAAAATTTCTGCTCTTCAAAAGAACTGTTAAGAGAACAAAAAGACAAGCCACAGGCTGGGAGAAAACATTTTTAAAAATATGCATCTGATAAAGGGTTTGTATCTTAACAATATAAAGAACTCGCAACACTCAATAAGAAAACAACTCGCTATAAAAATGGGCAATTTATTTTAACAGAAACGTCATGCAAGAAGATATACCAAGAACAAATAAGCACATGCTTTATGTTCAACATCATTAGGCATCAGGGAAATGCAAGTTCAAACCACAGAAAGACATCACTTACACCAATCGGAATGAGTAAAATTAAAAAGACTGACTGTACTAGGTGTTGGTGGGAGAGGAATAACTGCAAATCTCATATACTGTTGGAGGGAATGTAAAATGATACAACCACTTTGGAAAACAGTTTGGCAGTTTTGTTTTGTTTTTTTAATAGTGGTAAAATACACATACACATCTTCCCACTTCAACCATTTTTAACTGTACAGTTCAGTGGCACTAAGTACATTCACATTGCTGTGCAACCATCACCTCCGTCCATCTCCAGAACTTTTTCACCTTCCCAAAGTGAAGCTCTGTCCCCAGTAAGTAGTAACATTCCTCACTACTTCCAGTCCCTGGCAGCCACCACCTTCTGTCTGTATGAATTTGACTATGCTAGGTACTTCATCTAAGTGGAATCGTGCACTATTCGTCTTTTTGTGGCTGGTTTATTTTGCTTAGTAATGTCCTCAAGGTTCATCCATGCTGTAGCATGTATTCTAATTTCCTTTCTTTTTAAGGCAGAATATTAAATACCATATTTTGTTTATCCATTTATCCATCAATGGAAACTTGGTTGCTATCACTTTTGGCTACTGTGAATAATGCTGCTAGGGACATAGGTGTACAAATCTCTCTTTGGATTTCTGCTTTCAGTTTTTTGGGGTATATACCAAGAAGTGGAATTGCTGGCTCATATGGTAATTACATTTTTAATTATTTGAGGAAACATCACACTGTTCTCCATAATGGCTCTACCATTTTACATTCCCACAAACAGTGCACAACGGTTCCAGTTTCTCTATATCCTTTCCAAAACTTTTTTGTTTTTCAAATAATAGCTATCCTAATGGGTGTGAAGTGATATCTCATGGATGGTGGCTTTGATCTGCATTTCCATAATGATTAGTGATGTTGAAAATCTTATGTATTTATTGGCCATTTGTATATCTTCTTTGAAGAGATGTCTATTCCAGTCCTTTTCCCATTTTTTAGTAGGGCTATTTGCTTTATTGTTGTTGACTTGTAGGAATTCTTTGTATTCTGGATTTTAACCCCTTATCAGATACATGATTTGCAGATATATCCTCCCATTCCATGGACAGCCTTTTCACTCTGTTAATAGTGTCCTTTGATGCACAAAAGTTTAAAATACTGACTTAGTCCAATTTATTTATTTTCTTTTCTGTTGTCTGTGCTTTTGGTGTCATATCTGGCAGTTTCTTAATAAATTAAGCAGATGCCTAGTCCAGGATCCATCCATTTCACTCCTAGGTGCAGAGATAAATGTGAAGTCCTAACTCTGGGCTAAGAGAAATGAAAGCATATGTACATACAAAGACTTATGTGCAAATTTTCATAGCACTTTCATTTTTAATAGCCCCAAACTAGAAATGACCCAAGTGTCTATTCATAGGTAAGTGAGTAAACAAACTGTGGTATAGCTATACAATGAAATACTACTCAGCAATACAAAGGAATATACGACAATATGAATAAATCTAAAAATAGTTATGCTGAGTAAAAGAAGTCAGACAAAAGGGAGTACATACTGTATGATTCTATTTACGTAAATTTCAAGGAAACTTAAGCCAATGTATAGTGACCAAAGCAGATCAGTGGTTGCCTTGAACTGGAGTTGGGGGGAGGAGGCATGAAGGGGAGGGAAGAGATGAGGAGGCAAAAAGTGGGAAAGGGTTGAATGGAGGGATTGCAAAGGGGCATGAGGAAACTTTTTGGGGTGATTGATATGTTCATTATCTTGATTGTGGTGGTGGTTTCACGGATGTACACATATGT